CCAGCTGAGAGAGCGAGAGCTGCGGAGAGAAGAGCGCCGTCCGTCAACAACAACACCACACACTCCGACACACACTCCAACGCCGACGCACAATCAACACACACTAACGCACAACACTCCAGGTCCACCAGGTCCACCAGGTCCACCAAGTCCACCAGGTCCCCCAAGTCCACCAGGTCCACCAGGTCCAGCAAGTCCACCAGGTCCAGCAAGTCCACCAAGTCCACCAGGTCCACCAAGTCCACCAGGTCCAGCAAGTCCACCAAGTCCACCAAGTCCACCAAGTCCACCAGGTCCAGCAAGTCCACCAGGTCCAGCAAGTCCACCAACCAGGTCCACCAAGTCCACCAGGTCCACCAGGTCCAGCAAGTCCACCAAGTCCACCAGGTCCACCAGGTCCACCAAGTTCACCATGTCCACCAGGTTCACCAAGTCCATCAGGTCCACCAAGTTCACCAAGTCCACCAGGTCCTCCAAGTCCTCCAAGTCCACCAAGTCCACCAGGTCTACCAAGTCCACCAGGTCCACCAAGTCCACCAGGTCCACCGAGTCCACCAGGTCCACCAAGTCCACCAGGTCCACCAAGTCCACCAAGTTCACCAGGTCCACCAAGTCCACCGAGTCCACCAGGTCCACCGAGTCCACCAGGTCCCCCAAGTCCACCAGGTCCACCAAGTCCACACACAATGACACACACACACACACACACAAAGAGACACTCTGTTCATTATGCTCCAAACACAATCTGCCCACACACTCTCAGTCTCTCTCTTTCTCTCTCTTTCTCTTTCTCTCTGCAGTATGATACAGAAACATGATGGAGGGATATGAACAGTGAAGGACGGAGGTGGAGACGGACGAGAGGGGGAGCGAGGGAGAAGAGGAAGAGTGAGAGAAAGACGAGAGAGAGAGACTTATTAAAAGAGAAGGAAGAAGGATGGAAAGGGGGAGCAAGGGAGAAAAGGAAGAGTGAGAGAAAGATAAGAGAGAGAGACTTATAGAAGGAGGAAAGATGGAGAGAGGGAGAGGAGGAAGAGTGAGATAAATGGAGGAGGAAGAGTGAGAGAAAGCTGAGAGAGAGAGATAATGAGAGAAGGAAGAAGGATGGAGAGAGGGAGCGGGGAAGAGGAGGAAGAATGAGAGAAATAGAGGCGGAAGAGTGAGAGAAAGACGAGAGAGAGACTTATTAAGAGAGAAGGAAGAAAGAAAGAAAGAGAGGGAGTGAGACGGTGAGACAGAGAGAGAGAAAGAAAGAAGAACGAGAGAGCGAGATGGGGCAGACAGAAAGAGAAACAGACAAGACAGGGGCAGAGAGAGAGAAAGAGAAAGAACAGAAAGAGAAGAAAAAAGCAGAAAGAAAGTAAAACAGGAGAGGGGGGCACAGAGAGAGAGAAACAGAAGAGACAGGGGGCAAAAAAAGAGAGAAATAAAGAGAGAGAATGGAGGACAAAAGGAGAGAGAAACAGGGACAGAGAGAAACGTGCAAGAAAGAAAGAGGGAGAATAAGAGAGAATGAAGAACAAGAGAGAAAGAGAGGGGGAGGGAGGGAGAGAGACAGAGAGAGGAACGATAAAGAGGGAGAACGGAAGAAAGAGACAGAGAGAGGGAGAAAGAGAGAGAGATGGAAAGAGACAAAGAGGGAGAGAGTGGAGGAGGAAGAACGAACGAGAGAGAAGAGAGAGAAAGGAGAATGACAACGATAGAAGACGAAGAAGAGAGAGAGAAATAAAAAGAGAGAGGGAAAGAGTGTTGGATCATTGTGGCTGTCGGTCAGCTGTCAATCATCGCTCCAGAGCCCGCCCCACACCCGCTGGCTCCGCCCACTCTGGAGTAAAGCCTCGGGACGGGGTTTAACGTCTCTTTAAGTCAAATTTAAATGGAAATAAACACTAATTTCTTGTTCTAACTGTGCACATGTTGTTTTAAAATCTTTATCTACTCTTCCAAGTTTTTATTTCGCTTAGATTTTAGCGCAAACTTGGTAAATTTGCAGGTTTCTCATCAAAAGACGTGAAAATCTCTGCAATTTCAAGTACTACGTGACATCACACAGCACCGCACTGACACATCCAGGTGTTTCTGATTCAAAAACTTTATCGATCTTGAGGGAAATTCAAGTTTGGCTGCGTCAACATTTACACAACACTGCGCTTCTCGGTCTGCGGTGGGTCGAGCAGCCACAAGAGCAGCCCGGACTGTGTTGCCGTGGTTACAGTTTGACCCCCCTCCTCCTCAGGTCGGGTTTTCCTCGGCGTCTGTTTTCTCGCGCCGACCGGGACGAGCTCATCTTCTCCGCGCTCCCGTCGTTTCAGCGAGTGAAACGGAACAAATGTCGGATAAACGCACGACAAATCTCAATGATCTGGACGAGATTTAAAAACTTAGATCAGGTTAATCATTTTGTTTTCAGATTTATTACTATTTACTACAGATAATACTCCCTACAACTGTACAACTCAGCTTTATGTAACAGATAATACTCCCTACGATTATACATTTATGTAATTTATAATACTCCCTACAACTGTACAACAACTCAGCCTCATGTAACAGATAATACTCCCTACAACTGTACAACAATTCAGATAATACTCCCTACAACTGTACAACAATTCAGATAATACTCCTTACAACTGTACAACAATTCAGATAATACTCCCTACAACTGTACAACAATTCAGATAATACTCCCTACAACTGTACAACAACTCGCACTTATGTAACAGATAATACTCCCTACAACTGTACAACAACTCACAGTTATGTAACAGATAATACTCCCTACGATTATACATTTATGTAATTTATAATACTCCCTACAACTGTACAACAACTCAGCTACATGTAACAGATAATACTCCCTACAACTGTACAACAATTCAGATAATACTCCCTACAACTGTACAACAACTCACAGTTATGTAACAGATAATACTCCCTACAACTGTACAACAACTCTTGTTTTATAGCTGAGATTTTATATTTTATTACTTTTTTAAAAGTATATATATATTTATATTGACTTGTACATTTACATTTATATAATTATGTTTTATTTGACACTTGTTTTTTGCTCTTTTTTGTGACTTATTTAGAACAGATTTGACCATTTATAACCTGATAGAACTTTTAAAATCTTGGCCAGATCTGAGAAATTTGGAGAGAGAGAGAAGAACTCAGTCTAAAATCTGCAGGGTTTGTGTGTTAAACATGTAAATTAAAATAAAAAAACACAACTTCAGGTTTTGTCTTTGAAGAGGAAACGACATTAGAGCTCATTGTAGATCAGAAAATATCGTCATATCGGCCCTTTTTTTGCAGATTTTCCGATTTTGTTGGACAGTTTAGATTCTGCGTTCCAGGACGACAGGCTCATCCGTCTGAACCTGTCCCTGCCGCCGACTGACAGGTGAGAGGAGGCAGGGAGTTTGGCAGGGCCGGTGCCGGGGCCGGTGCCAGGGCCGGTGCCAGGGCCGGTGCCAGGGCCGGTGCCAGGGCCGGTGCCCGTGTGGAGGTGGCGCAGCTTCACTCCGGGGGTTTAGCCGCTGCTCTGGACGATCCTCAAATGAACAAAATGTGTCGAAAGCGGCGGCCAAGAAACAAATGAACGAGACTGAGAGACGACAGATTCCACCACCTTCCTCTGGGGACCGATTATGAAGAGGAGGAGGAAGAGGAGGAGGAGGGAGGAGAGGAAGAGGAGGAGGAAAAAGAGAGGAGGAAAAGAAGGAGAGGAAGAAGATGAAGGAAAAGAGAGAAGGAGAGAAGGAAGAGGAGGAAGAGAGGAATGAAAAGTGGAAGAGGAGGAGAGAATGATGAGAGGAGAACAGGTAGGAGAAGAGGGAGAGAGGAGGACACACATACACATACACACACATACACACACACACACACATACACACATAAACACACACTCTAATGTTCCGCATTGGAGCTTTAACATTAAGTTCATAGAGACGAGCAGGAAGTGAATCCTTCATCATCTCCATGAACCAGTGACATGTGCTGCTGTGTGGACCTGACCTACTGTTGTTGTTGTTGTTGTGTTGTTGTTGTTGTTGTGTTGTTCTGTTGTGGTGTTGTTCTAGTGTTATTCTGGTGTTGTGTTGTTCTGTTGTAGTGTGTTTCTAGTGTTGTTCTGTTGTTGTGGTGTTGTTGTGTTGTTCTGTTGTTGTTCTAGTGTTGTTGTTGTTGTTGTTGTTTTGTTGTTCTGTTATTGTGGTGTTGTTGTTGTGTTGTTCTGGTGTTGTGTGGTTGTGATGTTATTCTGGTGTTGTTGTGTTGTTGTTCTGTTGTTGTGTTGTTCTGTTGTGTTGTTGTTCTGTTGTTCTGTTGTTGTTGTGTTGTTCTGTTGTTGTTGTTGTGTTGTTGTGTTTGTTGTTGTGTTGTTGTTGTTGTTGTGTTGTTGTGTCTGTTGTTGTTGTTGTTGTGTGTTGTTTGTTGTTTGTTGTTGTTGTGTTGTTGTTCTGTTGTTGTTGTGTTTGTTGTTGTTCTGTTGTTTGTGTTGTGTTGTTGTTGTTGTTGTGTTGTTGTGTTGTTGTTGTGTTGTTTGTGTTGTTGTGTTGTTGTTCTGTTGTTGTTTGTTGTTGTTCTGTTGTTGTTTGTTGTGTTGTTGGTGTTGTTGTTTGTTGTTCTGTTGTTGTGTTGTTGTTCTGTTGTTGTTGTTGTTGTTGTTCTGTTGTTGTTGTGTTGTTGTGTTGTTGTGTTGTTGTTCTGTTGTTGTTGTGTTTTGTTGTTGTTGTTCTGTTGTTGTGTTGTTCTGTTGTTGTTGTTGTGTGGTGTTGTTGTGTTGTTGTTCTGTTTGTTGTTGTTGTTGTGTTGTTGTTCTGTTGTTGTGTTGTTGTGTGTTGTTGTGTTGTTGTTGTGTTGTTTGTGTGTTTGTTGTTGTTGTGTTGTTGTGTTGTTGTTGTTGTTGTTGTTGTGTTTGTGTTGTTGTGTTGTTGTTCTGTTGTTGTTGTTGTGTTGTTGTTGTTGTTGTGTTGTTGTTGTTGTTGTTGTTG